GGGAAAAAAATTGCTGTAAACAGAGATTCTAAAGGAAAGATGATTCAAGAGGAATGGAAAGATTTAAAAGGCAAAATTGTAACCATACATCAGTAATGAATGAGCTCAGTGAAGGGAAAAATGGGAGAAGTGAATACATTCTAAAGTAAAACTAATATGGCCTCCTGGAAAGGTCTGTAATGAGTTTGAGTTTTAAAGGAAGACAAATCGATTGGTACAATTCTGACACCAATTTTGAAGAGTGTGTTCTTTCCACACTGCCAAGCAGTTAACTCAATTCTGAACCTATCTACCTGGAGATAGGGTTAGATCTCACAGGTTAAGGGCTCAGTACACAAGACTGAAGCCCTGCCCACCCCCACCCCCCCAACACACACACACACACACACACACACACTTCATTTGCCAATTGCAAGTCCAAGTTGTCACCTGAGCTTCTGACCAAATGACTATAGATTAGAGGTTCCCAGAAACTCTTCCTTGGATTCAATTAAGTTGCTAGATTAGCTCACAGATCTCAGAGAAACATTTTATTTACTAGATTACCAGTTTATTATAAAAGGATATAACTCAGGAACAGCCATGTGGAAGAGATGCACAGGGCGTGGTGTGTGGGAAGGAACACAGAACTTAAACTCCCCCTGCATCTCCATGTGTCAACCAACCTGGAAGCTCTCCGAACCCTGCCCTTTTGGGTTTTTATGGAGGCTTCATTACACAGGCACAGTTGATTAAATCATTGGTCATTGGCAGTTGATTTAACCTTCAGCCCCTCTTCCACCCCAGAGGTCAGGATGTGGGACTGAAAGTTCCAATCCTCTAATCACAAGGTTAGTTCCCTTGGCAACCAGCCCCCTCCCGTAGGTGCTTTCCAAAAGTCACCTCATTAATGTGACAAAAGACCTTTATCACTCTCATCACTTCAGGAAATTCTAAGGGTTTTAAGAGCTCTGGCCTTGGAATTGGGACAAAGACCAAATATATATTTCTTATTATAAATTGCAGTATCACCGTTGGCTAAGGTTCTTCTTGAGTAAATAAGCCTAGCTAGGTAAGCAACAAAGACAGTTTATTGGAAGTATCTTGGGATATGTCATGGAATTCCAGCCTCAGGAGTGGCAACAATCGGGGTTGTAGGGAACCGCAGCAGCTGGAGGTTGAGGGCCTTCTTCTCAGAGTACATGTTCCCACAACTCCGTCTTCATCTCTCATCTCTGCTCTTTGCTGTGTGTGTCTGTGCGTAGGCCTTCTCTCCTCCCAGACAACATGATGGGCGTAGGCTTGCCAAACAGCTTTGAGTGCATATTACTGGTTCAGCCATTTTTAAAGAGAAGGTTCTAGTGCTCTTTCCCAAATTAAATTTCCTGGGAAGGTACTAGTTGATCCAGTTTGGATCCTCTGTTTGCTCCCAGAACAATCTGCTGTGGCCAGGGGATGACGTTCCGTGTATAAACACGACTGCCCCCACTGTCGCCTGCGCCGGGGAGTAAACAGGTCCCCAAAGAGTGTTGTCTAAGCAGACAATCTGGTAGATTCTATCCAAGTAAGCATATAAGCAAGGACAAAATAGTTCATAGGAAAAGCTAAAGCCCAAAATGAGTTGGCTTATTGAAAAATGCCAACAGTGATGACAGCAATATCAACATATGATCAAACCACAAGAATAAAGGAAAGATGGGGCATTGCTGAGGAAAACTGTGAAATGTCAACAAATGTCAAAGAGCAAGTAAGACTAAGATTTCCGAGTTTGTCATTCTAGAGAGTCTCCTCAAAGTGGAAAAGATAAGACAGACAAACGTAAGACGACCCTCATGGCCTTCTCTCTCACTTTAATAAATAAACTTTCAGAGCACCTGCGGAATGGATAAACATTGCAGCTGGTGTTGAATTGAATCCCACGCACGTCTCCATCATGATGTGGCCTCATAATAAATCTAAAGTCAGTTCGTAACTTCCAAACATCATTTGTAGTTCATGAACTGACTTGACAGCAGGTATGAGAAAAAAAGATCTGTGGATTATATTGTCCATAAGCTTATTATAAATTTCCAGCGATGTGGCTGCTAAAGAATATTAAACGTACTCTTTAAAAAATTATGTATTTGTATAAAATATACATATATATGTCTATACCCACAATTTTTAGATTTCGAGGAGGTTGTGTGCCTTTGTGTGTGTGCGCGCGCGCGCATTTGAATAAAATTTGAGAAATACTGGAAAGCACAAAGAAGAAAGTTAAAAAGGTAGCCATAATTACCGGAGGCAGCACTGACTTCTGTTAGCGTTTCGGTGAATTCTCTTCCAGGCTCTTTTTCAGTGCTGATGTGTACGGAGGTCTCCTGGCTTTCAGTCCAGTGTCTTGCCTCTTCTGCGTAATCTAAGCCAGTGTTACCCAAAGTCCATTCTGCTGGCTGACAGCATCACGATCCCCTCGAAGCTTGCTAGAGATATAATTTTTCTTTTCGGCCCTAGCCCAGACCTACTGAATCAAATCTCTTGGGATGTGGCCAGTTATCTGTTTATATAAGCCCTCTGGGTGATTCAGATGCACAGGAAAGTTTGAGAAGCACTAGGCTATACCAGTGCTTCTCCAAGTGTGGTCTATGAACTGTTAATGGATGTGACAAAATAATGCAAAAATTGGAAGTAAACACTTCGAAACATTTGTATTAATCTGACATGATGGCTATGACATCCAGGTATAGGATCTTTAAAAAAAATAATTTTATGATATTTTTCAAAATCAGTTCATAGTTGACTCCTTAAAAAAAGGAGAAAAAGAAACTCATGATACTTGGTGCCTGTGGGGAAAGATGAGAGGAGCAAATGAGACTTTATTTTCTTTGTTTAAAAAGAATAGCCACAAGCAAAGAAAAGCAGGTCCTTGACCACAGATGGTTTGAGAAGCACTGGTCTATGCTATCTGTGTCTCTTTTGAGACAAAACTGCTTGTTTTCAACAGGAACCTGCCACAACTGCGACCACTTGCAAGGGTCACTTCTAAAACAAGTGCTTGCTTGTTTTGCTGGCAGTGAGATAACTTGAACGTGGTGTGGAAGGATAATCAGGAGCTAGACTTTGGTGTTTAAGAACAAAGGAGGCCACCGTAGGTCCATTGGTTGGTTTGTTGGTTGGTTGGTTGGTTGGTTTAAAGCAAGGAAATGGCATGAACAGATCTGGTTTTTGAGATGTGCGAACAAGACTGGGTGCAGGAAGATGAGTCGGGAGAACTGCAGTTGTCTGGTCAAGAATTGACAGGGTGGTGTTGATGGAGATGAGAAAAGTTGACAAATTCAAGATTTGTCTTTTGTCCTCACTTTTGTTAAAAGTTAAGCTTGAATACATTATCAGGATGTGAGAAAGAAAATTACCTTATTCTATGGTTTGGCTTTGTTTCCTATGTATCTTAATACTCATGGTTTTCAAGATAATCAGATTTCTGTGCTGTTTATTCAAATAAAGGATAGGTGAATGGTTGCATAGCGTGTGTTTGCTTTTATCTCATAGTCTGCTCACTGCCAGCTCCGTGCATTATCCTTTGACTTTACCTGAATACCACGGTTCCATCTTAATTTATTATAAAAAATCCTGGACCTTATAACCTGAGAAGACAATTTTATTTTATTTCCATAACTTAAAAAAAAATCAATTTTAATATTTAATAGACTTTATTGAAAATGATTTTTCCTGGAATACACAGGCATAAAACTAATCAATTAAAATTTTAATATTGTTTATTTTATGTGATATGCACCTGCTTATATGACTGCTAATTTTTGGTAATTAAATTCAGTTTGTATGTATTTAGGAGACTACTCAGTGCCTAGCATGGTTTATGCAGTGATTCCCAGACTCTGGTCTTAACTGACCAGTAATATTTTTTATAAAACTGGGGAGTCTAACCTAGACTCACCTTTTTATTTTATCAAGTAAGAACCAAAAACCAAATCAAGAATTTTTATATTTACTATCATCATCAATTCAAAAATCTAACAAAACCAAAGGGTGGGAAGTAGCCAATAAAAAATTCTGTTTTCTCCATTAGTTTTTTTAAAACCAACTTTACCGGAGGCATAATTTACATAATAAAATGCACATATTAAGTTAGGAAAAAGTAGGAAAGACAGAGTCTTAGAAGATAGGACAGTGATTAGAACCTAACAGATTTCATTTTTGAAAAATTCACACATCTCCTTTATTTTTCTCTTTTTGTGGTGGATTGGTGAAAATGTCATCAGGGCTGGTCTGCAAGCATAATTGGGAGCCTCCATTCTAGGAGTGGCTGAGAAAGAGGAAACAGTATTGGGGAGGAAAAATAATTTTCTCTCTACCTTTCTACATTCTTGGCTGAGCCCTCCACACTCCCCCCCGCCACACACACACACACCACTGTACTAAGATATATTAACAGGAGAAAAAAAATTACATATGTGTACACATGGGAATCCCACAAAATGAGATTCGAAAGGCAGCCATATGATTGAGGCTAATACCCTCCCAAGCTAGAGGTCTGGGGCTTCGGAGTGGGGAAGATAATTCATGGGAGAGTGACAAGAGGAAGTGTTTGGTAAACAGTGGCTCCCCTTCCATGTAGTAGGTTAGTCTCTCAGGTGAAAACGTTATCTCCGATATCTCCGGTAATACCTCCATTCCTAGTACAGGTGCAGGCTGCCTTTCTAATGTAAATCTTCCTTACAAAAGAGTAACTAATACTCAGTTTTCAGAGCATCTTTTGTATCTGCAGCTTCTCAAAAATGATAAATATGCCTAAGAAGCATATTTTGGGATGGCAAATTCTGCTACCCTCCGACAGAGAAAATGTAGAGCTAATCCTGAGAAGCTCTCACTGGGGGCCCAGGGAGTGAAAGGTGAGGTCACCAGCTGAGGCTCACTGGTAGCTGTAAGGTGGGAAGGAGAATCATTCTTTTGTATTCATTTATTCATTCATTACCTCTTACCAAATCTCTCTCTCTCTCTCTTTTTTTTTAAAATATGTTTAGCCTATCAGCTGATCACTGTGGTGATTGCAGCAGCAGGAGGTGGGCTTCTGCTTATACTAGGCACAGCGCTGATTGTTACCTGTTGCCGGTGAGTGATGGAGTTCACAGTCTAATTCTGTTTCTTTGCCTGTGCTATGCGAGGGCCAATTCTTACTCTTAAAGAATGTGTGGGGGTGGTTTACAGTAGTAAATCATAATGTATGACTGAACCATTAAAAAGGGGGAAAGGAAAATTCATGATAGGTAGTACCATGAGAGGCAAGACAAAGTTAGCAAATGGGACAATTTTCTTTACTAAAAAGGAATGTCTAAAAGCAACAAAAAAGAGATTGGACTGCATCAGAATTAAACACTTCTTTGCTATGTAGGGAAGGAATTTTTTTTTCTCTACCCATCTAGGTTCTTTGGTGGTTTAATAATCAAATTAACAGACAGATTAATGGGAGAGAAACAAATTTTAATTACATACATATGGGGATGGGACATAAAAATATGAGAACCACAGGCAGTCAGGCAATTGAGGCTTATGTGCCATCTTGAGCTAAGGAGAAGTGGGTAGGGGTCTAGGAATTCAAAGGGGAAGAAGACAATTCACAGGAAGATGGGAAGAGCAAATATTTTGGCAAACAAATGTTTGCCATGCCATGCAATAACAATGGGACACGGAGAGGAATTTGATCTTCAGGCCAAGCTGAGCTCCCCCACAGCTTACCAGACCTAGTTACACTCTTTGTAGTTATCTCTGGTAATAACTCTCTTCCTGGACCAAGCCCTGAATCTAAATTCTTTGAGGCTGTTAAGGGGGAGGTGAAAAAGCTTTTCCTGAGTCTTTTGGGCCTTATTGTTTTCAGCTCAAAATACTCCCCATGCCAAAGTGGCACATTCTGGGGAAATTTGTTCTGAACCCCTTCAGCTTCAAAGATCACTATCAAGAAAGTGAAACTATAACCCACAGAATGGGGGAAAGTAATTGCAAATCATATGTCTAATAAGGGACTGGCATCTAGAACATGTAAAGAATTCTTACGACTCAATAATAAAAAGGCAACCCGATTTGAAAATGGGCAAAGAACTTGAATAGACAGTTCTCCAAAGAAGATATACAGATGGCCAGTAGGCACGTGGAAGGATGTTCAACATCATTAGCCATTAGGGAAATGCAATCAAAACCATCATGAGATACCATTTGACACTCACTAGGATGGCTATTGAGAAAAAAAACACAGGAAATTACAAGTGTTGGTATGAGGATGTGGGAAAATTAGAACGCTAACACACTGCTGTGGAAATGTAAAATGATACAGCCACTTTGAAAATATCTGGCAGTTCCTCAGAGAGTTAAACACAGTTTCATTTTGACCTAGCACTTCCACTCTTAGGTATATACCAAGAGAAATGGAAACTTATGTCCACACAGAAACGTGTACATGAATGTTCGTAATAGCCAAGAGATGAAAATATCCCCAATACCCATCAACTGATGAATCGATAAACAAAATGTTATATATATATCCACACAATGGAATATTATTGATACATGCTATAATGTGCATGAACCTTGAAAATATTGTACTAAGTGTAATAAGCCAGTCACAAAGACCACCTATTATATGATTCTATTTATATGAAATGTCCCAAATAGGCAAATTTAATAGAGACAGAAAGTAGATGAGTGGTTGCCTAGGACTGGATGAGCAGTGGGGAGAATTGGAAAGTAATGGCTAAGGAGTATGGGATTTCTTTTGAGAGTGATGAAACTTTTCTACGATTTATTGCGATGAAGGTTACATAACACTGAATATACTAAAAGCCACTGAGTGTACACTTTAAATGGGCAAATTAAGAAACAAACAAAGATGAAAGGGGTTACCTGAGATATCTAAGCAGCAGAGAAGTTGTAGCAGGCACGTGGAATGGGCAGATACTTGGCAGTATGCCTGGCCCTGAGTTTCCTGGAAGCCAGTGAGATTGGATTTCTACTGGAAAAGGAAGGGAGAGGATGGAGCTGGTCCTCCTTCTCTGTGATGATCTATTCAGATAAGGGAATATTATGACCTTTGATTTAGATGAAAATAAATGGCAGGAATTATTCTGACATAACAGATGGAGGAAACCTACCAAAATAGCAGGTTATCTGTTTTGATTGACATGAAAGACATTTTAAGATATTCTCTAATCTCCGGGAAGGCTGCATAGAACAAGTTGTCCTAACTGCCCATGCAGGCCTCATGGTACAGCCTTTGCCTGTCATTTACAAAGTTGCTAATAAATGATCAAAGATAAAGTACGTGAGTGGAAATAAAATTCTGAGTATGAGACTAGGAGCTGGAGAGATAAAACCGGAGTGCTCAAGGGGACAGAAGCCTCATTTTTGTTAAGTGTCCTGTACCAGGTAGTGTAGCCATTCAGTGAAAAAGCCTGTGAGTATTGGTCACTGGGAAGGGAAGGTAGTTGTGAACGAGTAAGTCATTGTTTGAGACTGGATGCCTCACCCTCAAGGGGCAACGCAGTGGCACGCCTGTTCTGAACTTGGTAGAAGGGATAATGCCTAAGTCACATGGTTTTATGACCCTGAGTTAGTCATTTTATGCTGTCCCTAGAATGTTTACTTATAGGAAAATTAGGTAGACGGAAGAAACTTAAGATTATCTTACCTAGTTAGGGCAAATATAACTTCAAGTACCTGATACTAGGCCCACTAAATGGGTGCATAACACGTATGCCAACTTCCAGTCAGCGAACTCTCACAAGTAGGGAACTTGTCCCAGGGTTTCCCTGACCCACATAAATGAGAATATATATAGGTTATAAGCAGGTAGGCTTTTTTTTTTTGCAAACAAAATATCCTGTTTGTATGGTTTGTGAAGTAGCTTCATGTGGTAAAAGAGCACTAGTCAGGGAGTTGGGAGGCGTGACTTCTAGTCCCAGCTTTTGTAGTAGCAAAATGTGGCCTAGGAAAAAAATCGCATCTCTTCTCAAAGCCAGAGTCGCCCTATCCTCAAAGCTCCTGTTTTAGTAAATCTAGGGTCTACTTTAAATGGGCAAATTAAGAAACAAACAAAGAGATCTAGGATGCCCATGTAAATTATGATGCTCAGGCTGATTTGGAACCCCTGGACTAAAGGCCTGAAGGCCTTTCATTTATGACTCTGAGTTCCATGGCTGCTCCTAAGATGCAGTGATCTCTGTGCCCCAGAAGAGTCTAAGTCAGCTCCACTGCAGCTGTCTTTGAGAAGTCTGCCCCTGGGATCCTGGACCTCTTGGCTTGGGAGATTTTTTTCATCTTTTCTTGCATCTAATTACATTTTTACTTGTTTGGGGCAAATGCTAAGAACAACAATGATATTCCCCAGTGGGCAGTTACAAAGAAACATACTGGTAGCTTTAGGTCTAATTCTCCTTGTAAAAGACTAAATGGTGCTTTTGCAGATATCATTTCTTTATAGAACTTATTCATTTATCATTTATTTATTTATTTATTTGTTTCCTTTTGTTTATTTACTTATTTTTTTAGGCAAGGCAACCCTTGGTTGACCTCACAGATTGCAAGGACCTTGTCAGTTTCTCTTATTTATTTTTATTTTTTTATTTTTTTACACCTACAGCACCTTGTCTTCCTAGGTGGTCTCCCATCCAAGTACTAACCAGGCCCGACCCTGCTTAGCTTCTGAGATCACACGGGATCAGGCTTGTTCAGGGTGGCATGGCTGTAGACTAGAACTTACTCATTTAAATTTTCAAATAATTTTTACTCCACAGGAAGAATAAAAATGACATAAGCAAACTCATCTTCAAAAGTGGAGATTTCCAAATGTCCCCATACGCCGAATACCCCAAGAACCCTCGCTCACAAGAATGGGGCCGAGAAGCTATTGAAATGCACGAGAACGGAAGTACCAAAAACCTCCTCCAGATGACGGATGTGTATTACTCGGTGTGTAGTCCTATGTCCAAGATGACTTCAGGCTCCAGTTTCCTCTGAGAATTAAAGAGATTCTGTTTTATGGTAGTAAAAGTACTATAGCTAGTTAAGGGTTAAAGAGAATGATGGCCTAAACTTCTTATTCACATAGTTTAATATTCAATTCACTTATGACCTATGTTCATGGTGTTTATTCATTTTGACACATATAGAGGCTATTTCCACAGAGCACATTACTTTCATGGGGTTGAAGCAATAACCCTCTTGTTACTGAATTTGCTTTTAAGTTAGAGGATGGGAAACTGAAAGCCAGAGAAAGAATTTAGTAATACTTAGCCTTTGGCCCTTTCATTTTTGTCTCGTTTGCCATGCTTTACCTCATGTGATTGCATAGCTGAGGCTGAGGGATTGGAGAAAGGTATAAAGAGAATAATAATTCAATGTCATCCTCGACCAGCCCTCCTCAGAGGCTTAGAAGCTTATCTACTCAGTAGGTCTTTAATAATTTGCTATGTCTGGCCCTGGACTGTGTCACTGGGAAAGATGGAAGCCTCCCTTGAACCCTTGCTTCTTCTGCCCCACATTGAATAATCCTTATCATACTCCTGCCCACTGCTCAGTTCATTTCACATTATACTATGTCAGCCATAAAGCAAACACATATGGGATATCCGAGAGGAAAAATAAATAGATGTCAGGTGTCTTCTCATGCCATGTGGGGCTGTTTGAACTATAGCAATAAACATGAAACCTTGCCCCTTATGGACTTAATAGTGCTAGGCAATCATGTGACAGAAGCCACAAGCACTCTGGTTGCTATGGGGATTAACCACGAGGGTTCAGACTTTGGATAGGAGGGGCGAGTTTGTTCATGCTAAGAATGCTCTTGTTTTTATGAACTCTGAAAAATTTGAACCTAAAGAACAAGAAGATGTAGAGAACACAACTTAGCTCTAGTTTAAATGTTTCCATTGATATTTTTGCATAAGGGATTTGTTTTGTTCTCTGTCAGGAAAGCCCTTTTACTCTAATAACTGAAGCTATAACTCAGCAGGTATCTTACCCAGGAGTGACTGCGCACTCACACCCTTTGCTAGGATCTCCTCAACCCCAGCATGGCATGACAGCATAGCAACAAGACAGGCCTGTAGAAACACTGTGTGTTTCCATGGCATTAGCTAAAGAGTTGCCTTAAATAGATATAGTCAAGAACTTAAATGAACCCCATCTTCATTTCAAAAATAGGCTGAGTGTTCTGTAGAAGCAGAGCCTAAGCTCATGGCATGAAGCTGTCAACTGAGTGAGGGCACTGACCCTCACACAGTGGTCTCGGTATACATAGGGCTTTTCTAGGATTCGCATTTATTCAATGCAGTGTCTAGTGTTTTATTTCCATCAAGCAAGTATTTTCCCTTGGCGGTCCTGGATGAGGGCCTCCTCAAAGCAGCCATGTCATTCCTGGGGGGCTTCTTCTGCATATCAGTTAGATAGTAACAACCCAGTAGTCAGGGACCGAGGCAGAGACACCTGAGAGTTGCTGCTGGCCTCTTGCTTTGTGGTGCTAACTGCACCTCCAACAGGGGATTGATTGTATGCCCTTTCGAAGGTTGGTCCCCCATTCATGGCTGGGGCAGTCGAGTTCAGCTAAATGCCAAAGAGGATTTAAAGCTGTTGTGTTCTACACAGAAAGATACTTTTTTAAAAGATCAAACTAATAATCGGATAATAATTAAATTTGATTATAAGCAAGATAATAATTAACTGAGTCTTTTCTTATGTTGGTCTAAAATCACTGGGTTGCCCTTGACTGATGTTTTTTTTTAAATCCTCTTTTACAATATGGACACGGGTATCCCAGGTTCCATAAAGAGACAACTTAGAGGTCCTGACTTCTCGCTCAGATCTCATTCTTCTGTGTATGGCTGCTTCCATCTTAGATTTATTAAAATGTAGCATTCTTTTTCTAAAAAGAACTGTTACATTTAAGCACATGAATAATAAGCTGACTTTTTTACTCTTCTCTCTGGCCACCAGCCCACAAGTGTAAGGAATCCTGAACTTGAACGAAATGGACTCTACCCGGCCTACACTGGATTGCCGGGATCACGGCATTCTTGCATTTTCCCAGGACAGTATAACCCATCTTTCATCAGTGATGAGAGCAGGAGAAGAGACTACTTTTAAGTGAGAAGAGAGAAGGGCCCATTGCTCCAAGCTGGGTGGCCCCCGGGACGTCTGTTGCTCAGAGGACTGCACCAGGGGAGCACCGTGCAGGACTTTTGGAGCCACACTGGTGTGGCAGGCAGAAAGTGGGACAGGCGAGAGGGGCGTGACCACAGTGGAAGGGGACAGATGGCACCTGTGGACGTGGCACTGCAGGCTGCTCGTTTGTTACTGTGAACGTGATCATGGGCCAGTACCAGGAGCATCTCTCTGAGTGACTGCAACTTGGCTGCTGGCTCCAGGGATGATGTCATCGAGGGCAGATCATTAGGCACCATCGCAAGGACCCAGTTTTTCCTTAGTTTGCACTTTAGTAAGTTGGATCAGGAGGTCTGCTTTTGAATTTTTTTCAAGACTATTCCAGAAAGGCCTCTTTTCCTCAGACACGTCTACAGGCCTCCATTTGGTTATTATTTACAGCCAAACACTGGCTTTTTAGTTGTTTTCCTGCCCGGTATCCATGTGTTAAACAATAGATGATGGTGATGAACTTACCACTAAGGTTTGGAGATGCTGTAGATTAATGTACAATATTTAATGTTTCTAGGTCTTCTTGTGCTTCGGTTTCCAAGCCAACCCCCCAAAACGAGGAATTGAAATTTGTGAAGCACAGTGCACAACTCCAGTTTGTTTTCTCAGTCAAGGTGACACGTTGATTTAAGGTTTTTTCCCTTTGCAGTTAAATCTCACTTTTTAAAATATGTCTGGGCAAAACAACCTCCATTTGGTTTTAGTTTAAGTATCCAGTTGCCCCGTAGTGATGTCCAGCAAGCAGCAACGGGCACTTGTGCCTGGCGAAGGCCCCTGGAGCTAGAGTTACAGAGCTGCAAGCAGCAGGGCATAGCATGGTGCCAGGGACGCTGACCTTCATCTTTGAGGCCAGCCGTGCTACATATAGAATAGAAATGGAAAGATAAATGCAGATTGGGTCCAAGCTGGTATTTCACCACTAAAAGAAGAGCAGCTGACGTAGTCCCTACAGCTGAATGTGGTTGGAGGAATGGGCTGAATCACAGGCAAGTTCCGTTTCCTGAAACACCAGTTCTTTGGGACGCTGTGTGGATTCCTGTGGAAGAGTAAGGAGCTGGGATGGAGCCACATGTAAGTCTACTTACCTTCTAACGCTGCATCTTTGCTCGAATCTCTGATCTCATCCACGAACTCGGTGTCAACTTTCAACCAACTGCTCAAGCTATTTATTCACTGAAGAAGTAACTTATTTTCCCTGTTCCAGTAATTTGTACCTATTTATACCACTACATAGTTCCCTCTAGAAACGCGGTTCTAATTCAAGTCAGCATCGGAGAACTTCTGGCCAGGTAGGGAGTTGAAAGTTTGCCTTTGGGAGGAAAATTCCATATGTCTTATTTATTATGGCTATGACATGGGTCCTGCAAAGGGGCACATCCAGTACTCAGTGTCTTTCACTGCTCCTTGTGGAACTATGATTATCCTCATCACCTGCTTTTGAAACATCCTAGTTTTGGATGAAGTGAAGAGACCACAGAGGTCAAAGAATTGTTCCCACCCTGAAGCTTAGAGCTCGATGGCACCCACATTTTTGAAAATGGGGTAACGTTTGGGGACAATTCTGTCCTGGGCATGGTTGTTTCTTCAGAGTTCTCTACTCTCTTCAGAATGTATCTAATCCTTATTCTTCTGTACTCCTTGTCTCAACAGTTTTAAGTGCAGACTCCTGTGTCCCGTGGTCTCCACAGGTCATCAGCACCCTGCTGCAGCAGGAACACTAGTCAAGTGTGAGGCCTCTTAGAGTTAAGTTGCACTCATCTCATGACGTAGATTTTAAAAGAATTCTGTTTTTGTCAATGGATGCCCATTTAAAATTTCAGAGTGTCACCTTTTTGAAATCTCGGGTCTTGCATCTCTCTGTTGAACCCAACAGCCCTTTTTGCCTCGTGGCCTCACATCTAACTGGAGAGTTCTGAGCTCCTGCACTCAGCTCACCTGAGCCATCAGACTTGATCCCTCCTGAGGTAGCCTAGCTTCCCGGCTCTCCATCGGATTTTTGCCCATCCCCAGAACCCAGAGCCATGGTGGGGGGTTTACTCCTAGGTATACACATCGGCCACCTTCAGCTGACATCACAGTTGGCAAATCATCTCCTATATCTGGGCCAGAAGCTCTAAGCTCCACAAAATGAAGTGTTCTCTCTCAAAAGCATTCTTGAGAAGAATCCCAAAGTCCAGGAAGGAATGTCCTGTGAGTTCCAAGAATGCTTTCCTGTGAATGGGTTTTGTGCATATGAAGTGGATTAAGAATATTGTTTTTCTTTACTGTGAAAAAAGCAAGCACTCTGCAATTTCTAGGAGGCATGTGGAGGTGGGGAAAGTGCATCTCAAGAGCATGAAAGTCTTAAGAAGGCATGAAAACAGTGTGACTTTTAGCCAGCACCATCTGCCCACCCTGGGTGAGGAAGGGAGAGGCTGGCTTCCCTCCTTCTTGGGGATGGGACCTCCAGAGGGAACACCTGATAGGGCAGCGGCAGCCTCTGGTCTGAAAGGGCCGACTGGATGCACCCCTGGTAGCAGAAGCTCTTAGCTCTGGGGCAGGTGCTCACTGTCAACCCCCACACCTGGAGTGTGTAATTCATGCACACAGAAATGCTGTGGTCCTGTGTCGGGCTCCACAGCTGCGGGGAGGTGGGAGGAAGGGAAATGTGACACTTAACTGCCCATGAGATGCTTAAACTTCTGTAGGGAACAGTGGGGCCGAAGGAAACTACCTGTCCCACAGCAAGGTGATTCTCAGAGTGGGGCGCTGCTTGCCTGCTGGCCCCCCAGCATCTGTGGGTTTTGTTTAAGCTCTTATAAGGTCTTATTTCTCCTGTCTTTTCCTCTTTGCCCCGTGAGCCAGCCCAGGGTGTTAGAGATGAAATGGAAGCCTGAATAGTTAAAACTAGCATCCCTGGTGTTCCCACCATGGCCAGGCTCTGAGCAAGGTACTTGGCCTCACCACACCCTTATGAGGTGGGCATGAGAATGCCCATTTTTTGCATAGATCTAGGAACCTTCAAAGAAGAGAAATATGTTGCCTCGGAGAGCGTGGATTCAAACTCTTCTGCTAGGCTTAATCTCCCCACTGTACCTCCCTGCCTCACCTTCCTGGCAATACTTCATCATCCAGTGCACTTTACATGTCAAAGAGAACATGAGAATGAGCTTAAAGTTTTAAGATTAAAAAAAAAAAAAAACCCTTAATATGATTAAGCAGTAACTAAAGTACAAAAAACGTTGAATCCCCTTTTAAAAAAAGTCTTTTTGGGTTTGTCGTTACATATATTTCTTGGGCACTTGTGGTCACCATTAAGAAAATAGTGTCTGGCTCGTGCTTAGCAAGAAGCATATTGGTACGTGACTTAGGATGTAGGAAGTGTAAGGTGATGACCTGGGGTTTTGACAAACACAACTATTTGAGGGCCACTTCGCTTTTTTCCTCATAATATATAATAAGGCCATGGCTCCCACATATTGGAAGCATATTTTTGTGAGTGTTCTCAAAGATGGAAACATTTTCAGTTGAATGTCTTAAATGCTGACAAATCTTCCTCCTTTGACAAAAGTTTATTTTCAGAAGCAGCTAAGTCATTTAGAGCCAAAATTGCTGAGTGGATAGAGTAATCAAGCTGACGGATAGCATTTGAAGTCAAAACCTAAGATGTGATTATTAAGTTCTTGAAGAGATAACTGTTAAAGTAGGCCTAAAAGGGAGGGCAGCATCTTTGCAAGACAAGACTGGATAGCTGCCCAAGAAAACGTCTTTGAAGGATGATATTTATTCAGATGTTAAAGTTCCAGAGAAGACACAGCAGGGCCATCCCTAGCATATGGCCTTTGGGGGCCTCTATTAAGCCATATTGCCCACTGGTGAAGTGCCTGGGTACCCTGTAGCCCTTGAACTTTGCCCAGAGAAGCTAGAATTGTATATAGTCCAGTTGCTCCTGGCTTCCTTTAACCTAACACACCCAGAACTTGGGTTTGACCCAGAGTTCTAAAATCCTTACACTGATTTCAAAAGTAGAGCACTTCTTTGGAGAGAGGGAGAATTTCAGCATTTCACATCTTATTTTAAACTACCCTTAATACCAGAGATATTTTTTCTATATGAAAACTTTTGTGGGATTAGAAAGGGATATTCTATTTCCTTCTTTTTGACAGAGCATCATTTTGGGGTTCTTATATGCATTTTGGGAAACATGGTTTTGTAGATTTGGTGTTTGAGTACAGTATGTGTTCTTTTTTCTTTCCCTTTTCATGAATCCCCATAAAAGGAAACTGGTTAAAATACTAGGAACATGAAAGAATTAAATTTCAGTTAATTTGTTGTGCGAAAGTATCTTTTCAGTAGTGTTATAATCCATCTTATTTAATGTAAACTGCTCACAGGAAAACCTGTGAAATCAGAGGGGACAATGTAGGTCTGAAAAGAGGCAGCTCTTAGCTGGCTCTGTCCCCTTGCCATTTTTAAAGAGGACATATTAGATTCTGGTTTTATCATTGTTTTTTGAACACACCTAATGCACTTCAGGTGCAGAGTCATTGAATAGGAAGGTTGGGACCACCCAGGGATGGGATGGGATCGGTCTACCTGGGAAACTAACCCAACTCACTTATCGTTATGTATTACTTTGGCCTGTTTCTTTTTTTAAAAAAAAAGATCTTTCATCATAGGTTGCTGTGAGTTTTCTTAATGTTTATGTTGCTGGATTTATGGTTAAATGGAGCATGTAGCTGGAATATGGACTTTTTGAGTTTTCATGTCCTGGATTTCTCTTTGCAAACCTTTAAACCTTAGCCCCTGATTGATTGTGTTAAACCCATTATGAGAATGTTATTTAAAGTTGTATTATAATTGCAATCTACACTAATTATTCAGTACTGTAGCAGCAAAGTATTATTTGTAAGAATTTGGTTATTTTTATACTTATATCCACTATAAGTCTGGCGTTCTAGTCAGTAAAATGATGCAATAAAATAAATATCATTTTCATTGTGTGTTTTTCTCATTAAAAAACATGCAAACCAGAGCACAGCAAGTTGTTTTTCATGAGAGCATCACTTAAACCATGGCACTCTTTGCAAAAAATCTTGTACAGTGAACTCTTACATGGCAAATGAAGGGACTGAGTCATTTCTGTATCCTCAGTGCCCAGGAAATATACTTTTGATGATGGATGGATGGACAGACAGATCAACCTAAATGATAAAAAGCCTGATTTAGGTATAAAGCCTGCCTTTGTTTACTTTTCTTTATGTGGTTTGAGAGTGTAAGTAACTCATTCAGACTGAAAATTTTGTCCTGAATGCCTACCACTCCATGCCAACTCTTTACGTCTTGGAGGAGAAGGGAAAGTAAGCACATCTGTGCTCTGTGGTGGAGAGAACTGGCAGGATTTGAAGACGGTGGGCCATGGGGCCTCACACTTACAGTGGCCAATGAATGTGGCTGTCTGACTAGAGATATATTAATCAGTCTTTCGTGGCAAGGGTGGATGAGCCTCTCAGATTCTGCCAGCTTTATGGCAGAAACGTTGGCATTGGAGAGGCCAACAGTGGCTGCGTGGAGCATAAAAGTGACTTTTTGGCAGATTAGATCAGAATTGTAGCCCATCAAACATCTCTTTGTGGAGATGCCCAGCAGCACTCCCCTCTCCTGACCCAGCCCTTCCCACTGAGCCTGCCCAGCCCACCAGTTAGCCCCTCACTGAGATCTTAACAGAAACCTGACACCTTTATTTTTCTGCCCAGCTCAGCCAGACATTATAAACGTCACAAAGAGATGCCAGAAATAAAGATATTTGTGTTGATTTTTATTGACCTCATAAAAACTTACAGCGCTATCTGAAGGCCTAGGGTCTGATAGCTGGTACAAGACACTTTCTAACAATTTCATGGCTGTTTTTCCCAGATTGCAATGTCAGGCCTCAGAGTGCGCTCAGCTCTCTGAGCCTCAGTGTTCTGATGGGTGAAGTGGGGATGGTTATTGCCTCCCGGAGTTGTTGTGAGGGTTAAAGGGGAGAATTCGTATGAAAATATACTATAAACTACAAAGAAACAACACACATTGGTTCTCTTCAATAGGGCCCTCCTGGCACCAAAAGCAAAACAATTGCAGGATTAATATGTCATTGAAGTGCTGATTCACTAGTAACTGGCCCTGAATACCTTGGACTTGATTCAACTTCTTGGAAATTGATGGCATGTGGTGATGGAAGGCAGAATTATCAGCAGTAGGTATTCTGGACACAATAGGGAAAATAATATGTCAAAAATGACCTTTAGCCTAAGAGGAGGTATATTCAAGATGTTTGAAGAGGGTGGCTGTAGAAGAAATATATAAGGAAACCTCTGCAAATGAAGTGGATGTGCTCCAGCACCACCCTTCCTTGTGCTCAGCTTCCGTACTGAAGGTAGAACTAACACAGATGGAGAAGAGACATGTTTCAGGACATTACAGAGGAGGCCTTTTGTTTTAAAAATGGTAAATACAAATTAAAACAACACTAGAGTATATAAAATATAGAATCCCAGAATCTCAGGTGTGGAAGAGCTCTTAGTCATCGTTTATCCCAACCATCCTTATAAAGTGCTTAGGTTAGATTCCCTCATCCGAGTAGATGTCCGAGAAACAGGGAGCTTACATGCTCTGAGGAAGCCCCCTGCATATCTCAATAACTCCAACTACTAGAATGTCTTTTCCTGCTTTCAACCCAGTTATTTTCCCCTTGTTGGATGAGAGTCCTTTTGATAGGGGCGAGCAGCTTGGAGGGGTAGAAGAACTGGATTTAGTTTAGGGCTACATGGGGACGGATTTGGACAAAGCTAAGCAGGAGAGGGGAGAGAGGCAAGGCTGGGGAGGAGGATCTGTATGAAGGCCACGTGGGCTCCAGGTGTAGAGAGAACCCAGTGATAGGGGACACAGATCCTTCCGCTCTGGGCGAGACACAAGCAACCTCCCAGGGACACGTGAAAAATGTGTGAGGAGAAAGAGGTTCCTGTCTATCTCTGCGACCTCCCCAGCCACCCTTGCAAGCATGGTTAGGGGATGACAGAGGCTGACAAGACAGTGGGACAGGGCGGATGACCCTGGCTACTCATGCAGACTTCCTGGATTCACATCCTCACTCACTAGCTCTGTGGCCCTGAACAAGTTATTTTTAATCTCTCTTTTGAATTCCTCGGATGTGATGATATAGAATCTACCTCTTAGAGTTGTCAGGAGAATTGAATGGCTCGATATCTATAAAACACTTACACCAGTATTTTATATGTAGTAAGTGCTGTGTGTTTGTTAGACATAAAACATTTGAGAGTTCAAAGTGAAGGAATCATTGACCATGACTTGAGTTTCACGATTTATATAGCCAGTTTCACATACTGCCATTTTTCATTCCTGACAACCTCCAAAACTATGAAACAGTTGAGAATCACATTATGAGAAGAGAGACATTGTAACGAAAGTTGCTAAGAGTAAATCTTAAAAGTTCTCATCTCGAGAAAAAAAAAATTGTAACTGTGAGGTGATGGAAGTTAATTAAAATCATTGTAGTGATCATTTCACAATATAAACATCAAACCATTCTGTTGTACATGTCACGTTAATTATATATCGATTGGGAGAAAAAAATGTTCTCCTGAAAGGAAAAAAACAGGTGGTCAGTGTTGAAAGGAAGGGATGAGAGAACATTTGAAATGACTGGGAATACAGGAGGAAGCTGATTTGTCACATGAAACGGTATTGGACAGAGGTTGAGAACAGTGGTCTTGTGGTAGCAGCAATCCCCACATAAAATAATTTTACTACGGCAGGGCCTAGCAGTGGGTATTAGAGCAGAGAAGAGGGCCGATAGGTTGACCCAGAATTGAGCTTTTAATTGGTAGATGGCACCAGAATGGAAGGCTGCTGGCTGGAGGAATTTACTGAGTGTTATCCTGTGGATCTGGACTTAAAAGAGGGGAAGCCTGGGTGAAAGTGAAGTGCTGACAAAGCTTCATATCTTTAATCCATATAATATCTAAAAATCTCATACGCTTTAATTAGAACAGTATATAAATAACTTTTCCCTTAAAATAATAGACAAATATCAGGAACGGGAACTACAAATAACCTAAGAAACATATGGAAAATGTTCAAACTCATTAGCGATCAAACAAATGAGAATTTAAATACTGAGGCATCCCTTTTATACACCTACCATGGTAGGAAAAAAATGCCTACATTTTAAAAATGGAAATATTTCATGCTAATGGATGAGAGGACAACTGTAGGGGTGTGAATTAATATAAATCTTTAAGAAGATAATTAGGCAACAATTTCTAGAAGCCTTAAAGTTTTTATGTCTTGAATTAATAATTTTACTCCCCGGAATTTATATTAGGGAAATACTAATACAAAACAAAAATGAAATGACACACCCTACTCACTCCTTTGCCTCCTAGTGCTGGGCTTGTATCCAAAGAACTGTCAGGTTAACCTTCAGGAATAATGGAACTCTGAGACCACAAATGGGTCTTGAGGCTCTCTGTCCCCAGACTGATAGGCATTCCAATAAAGCAAGCTTTCTCAGTCTCCTCTTCAGAAGCAGATAAGTCAAAAGGGCCCCCTAACTTCTTTGTTATTGATCCCTACATTTCCATAATTCCTAAAGTTCTATTACTAGCTCCTGGTTATCACCCACTAGACTGTGAACCCATTAAGGGCAGGGACCTTAGTTTTGCAATATCTATTTGTTTTATATTCACCTCTACACCCTTTTGCTAACACTCACATAGTAGATGCCTAATAGATATTTGTTAATTTGTCGTTTCAGTTGCTCCTCATTTTGTAATGCCCCATTCTCTATCCTATTTAGTTTGTGCATTGGCTGAAGATCAAGTTGGTCTTTCTGTTCAGTTAATTTATTCTTAAATGTCTTTGTGTGTGTGCCAAACAGTTGACATTTCAGCAGTGCTATGTTTATTAATAGACTCTCTCTCATATACCTTAAATCAGGGTTCAAGGTCCATGCCTCTCTGAGCCTATCAGCTATAATAACTTCTCATAATTCTTACTAGCAACAGGATATGGCAATGTGTGGGTAATAAAACATAGTGAGGAGTCAGTTGACTCATAGAAAGTTAAAAATGGAAAGGAGATCAGGAAACGATGGCATTACTCAACCCCTACTCTGATTCTACTGATGAGGAAACTGAAGATCAGAGAGAGGAAATTCTCCAAAGGTTATGTTCTGGTTCATGAAAGGGTTGGGCCGAGGGTACAGGATCTAGGCATCCAGTTTATTATAATTTCCTGGGCACATGTAGTCATCAAAAGTATGAGTCATAAGAGAATGTGAGCTACAGCAATGCATGGCAGAGGGCTAGGCCAGCATACCCAGATATGTTAACTGACAAGGCAGAGCTCCATGATGAAGACAGAAGTCATCATGATTCTGAAAGAAGGCCAGGTTGGAGAACATGGGAGGTGGGCCAGGCATAGACAAGTGTCTGAATGAAATAGAAACAGTGAGGTATGGTGAGTAGAGCATGACCTTTGAAACCTGGACTTCAACTCCAGAGCTGCCACACATCCCCTTATTACTCAACTTCTCTAAGACCCAAGTTTTTAGTCTGTAAAAACGTGCCCGTAGAACTGACTTCTCAGAATGGAGCTAAAGGAGACAATGAATGTGTGGTAATATTCAACTCAGCACCAGGAAAGAGCACTGGAAGATGGTTTGTGACATCTTCATGGAGGTTTGTGACATCTTCATGGAGATCAAGTCTTGTGGTCCTTCCGGGAGCTCAGCACCAGGAAAGAGCACTGGAAGATGGTTTGTCATGGAGATCAAGTCTTGTGGTCCTTCCAGGAAGTTAAAAGTGGCACTCATCCCTCTGTCCATCCTCAGGATGCTTTTGGACAGGGATGAGCTCGGATCTCAGTGAAGACCTATCCCCCTTGGGCTGACTGCACCCTAGAGCCAGGGTTGGCACACTACAGTCTGTGGGCCA